GCCTGTAAGCCACTATTACGCAGTTCTGACCGAGATCCAGGGATTGTTTGCCTGGATTACACTGGTGGACCCGCAAGGCAGAGGCTTCAATGTTGGAGTCACTATCCCAAGAATCCCTATGATGCCCACACTAGGGGTGTGGGTGGCTGGGATCTCGTCTGGTTGTTTCCGTGGAGAGGCCCTGGGTCTGGGGCAATCTCTCTCTAGAAGTCTCACTCACTCTCTTGCAGGACCAGTTGGAATGCAAAGGGGTTCCCCTTGCTCACCACTCTCTGTTTTGGTCCTGCTGCGGAAGTGCACGGGTAGGCTAACAGTCAGCTCTGTGACACTGTGGCCGCAGGACTCGGTGTCCACCTTTCCTGTGTGCTGCCTCTTTGTCCTTTCCCTCTGCCAGGAGGGGTTATGTTGACTGGTCCCTGGGTGGCATGGGAAAGAGTTAGGTTGAGTGTACTCAATCCCAGATCCCGGGCCCAGATCTCTCTGCCAGAAGCAGCCTGGCGGCAGAATCTATGTTTGCTGATCCTGAGAGAGTAACCAGGTAGGGTTGAGTGTCCTCAGATCCAGAGCTTGGGTTTCTCTGCTAGGGGCCGCTGGGTGAGCTGGAGAGAGGGTGCTGTGTCCTTGGCAGGCTGCCTCTCTGTACTTCCCCTCTGACCTTCCCCTCTGCTAGGGCAAGCTTATGGAGGTGCTCTCAGGGGAGTGCCAGCAGGGGTTGGGGCTTCTCAGTTGGATCCTGAGCCCTGAGCCGGTGTTTCTCTGCCAGGGGTCGGGGGAGGGGGGCGGCGCCGGTGATAGAACTTGCTGCTAGACCTTATTGCGCTGTACCCAGGAGAATCTCAGGACGTGTAGAATGACCACAGTCCCAGATCCCGAGATGTAGTGTTTGCTAGGAGCGGCCGGCAGCACTGGAGTTCCGGCACTGTGAAGCCGCTGTGCGCCTCTTTATCCTTCTGCTCCGCTGCGGCAGGGTGATGGCGGCGTTTGGGGGAGTGTCCGAGAGGATTGGGTTTTCTCAGCCCCGATCTCTGGTTGGGGTACAGACAATGTGGTCTGTGGCAGATTCTGCTGGACTTCTCCTGCCTCCTCCTATGGGTACCCGCGATCAGGGAGACCTTCCAGGGAAAGACTGGGTCACCAGTGACTAGTCTGGCAACTTTCCTTCCCCGTGGGGTTTTTATGCGACTGGGACTCTTAGTCTCAGTCACCCTTGTGCCCACCGATCAGCCTGGGAGAGTGATCGGGACACGCAGGCTTAAGGCACCAGCCTGGAGCCCCAAAGCCCACGTTAGCCGGGTGCTCTTCCGGGTTCTGGCTGGGCAGCCGAGAGTGGACCCGACAGATTCCCACACTGTGGGAGCCTCCCCTCACCTGGGAAACACGATCGCAGTTGTTTCAGGGCCCAGAGTTCAGTCTCCTGGTCGCTGCACAGAGTGTGTGGTCCCGTTTCTCCGACAAGGTGTTCTCCCGGCGCCGCCATCTTGGCCCCCGGTTCTTACTCACTAATGAACATTTAAAACTAACTAGGAGTGAATTTTTAAATAAATATTTTAAGAAACTATTCACTTAAGTTATTTTTAAAGCCTAGAGATGATTAAAAAAAAAAGATATAGCTCTATAGAACCCAGCACAAGAATTTGTACAATTAACATGTCTGAAATTTAAAAACGATGCTAACAAAAATCCAAAACTGGTATCTTCTCATTGCTTTATAATTACTGAAGGACTGGTTTCCCACTGATAGCCCACAGATCATTTGAATTTCTGTAAAGAAGACATGACAATATGGACAGAGCAGACCCATCGCCCTTACCTTCCAACCTACCACTTCTCCTTAGCCCAAGTCTTACCACAGCGACCTCTCACGCGTGACTATACAACCCAGTTGCCAAGGCTCTGTCACACAGTTTAGACACAGAGTCCATTCACCAAGTACTATCATTATTGACATTAGTAGTGAATGCAGTGGCAACTTTGGATCAGAGGAGAAGACTTACAGAGATGCTCAGGTAAGTTATGGAAGCAGCACCATGGTACCTGAGCAGAGGGCTCTTCTGTGTGGGATGCATAGGTAATATAAATTATGTCCAGTCTCAAAAGCTGGAAACATGACTGACGTATTAATAAAAATATTTTATTGTAAGGAAAAAAAAGTATTGTAGAGCCGAAACCTACAGGAGGGCTTGTGCTGCAGAATATAACCCTGCAACCCCAGCTATGATCTTTCTAAAGAAAAGGGCATGCCAGAAAAGAGATTTGTTTCAGCCATCTTGGTCCAGAAAGCTGGTAACTTCATCTTTCTGTAATCTGCCTAGCTGGAACACAGCTCCACTTACATATTTCTATCGGTCTACTACTCTCTGATAGGCAGTTTTTTTTATGATTATGTTATTATTGGTACAGTGTACTACATTCAACGATAGTCATTATAAACAAAGAGCTTCCGAGGAAACAGAAGAGTAGAGCAAGAAGAGGACAGGGTTTTCAGTAATGGGGGCACTACTCTTCCACCTCAACCACCCTACTTAGAAATCTTCCAGGTTTGTTTCTGTTGAGTGAAACTTCTTTCCACAGCAGCACATATATGTAGAATGTATGGGCAAAGTCATACATTCACAAATGCCTTCTTAAACATAAATTCCAAGGACAAAGTGAAAAATCCACTTTTCTGACATTAAGAACGCTCTTTATGATATGACCGAGAGTAACTAATAGCTCATAAATTTAAAAAATAAAATTAAAATCTAACAGCTAGTGTTAGCTCTTAAAAGCTGACACTTTTTAATAAATGCTAATCAGGAACTTTCCCCCCAGATATGTAAGTGTGAAAGCTTAAGCAAATAATGCCTCTTTATAAATAGTGATTGGGTTTAAGGTGATAAAATATAAAAATGTTGCTAAAAGTTTACCATTATATTATTTAATGAGTAGAATAAATGCCTTTCCATAATTCAGAAAAGGGCTGAAGGAATTTTATATAGGGGCTAGGCAAAGTGGGCCCACAAGATGGCACTGCGGGTAGAAACACTGGCTGCACAGGACAGGTGGCCTGAGAACCGTCCCCAGAACTCAAGAGCTAACTCCTGAGAGCTGCTCTGTGACCCGCACATGCACAACATCCCACATGCGACTCTGCACTAACTCAGACTGTGCATATACGCACATGCTGACGTTAAATTAGCTGACTTTTAAAACAGCTGGATGAAATTGTGAGTGAAAATTTTTAGAGAACACCTAGAGTTCAGGCCGCAGATATTGTAGAATTTAAGCAATCTCTCCACATAATCTGACTGAATCTTTCTGAGGAAAAAAAAATATTAACTTTATTGTCTAAAATTAGTAGTTTTCTTGGCTTGGTATGGTAACCCATTTTTATGAGACTATCGCTTGCACCCTAAGAGGCTGGAACTTTCTTCCTGGACCTCCCAGCACAGTGCACAATACACGCTGAGATCACATAAGGCTTAAGGTAGCACAGTGTTTCCGTTCAACCTTTTGCCATTAAGAGAACGGTGTAACAACCACACTTATTTGCCTAACATCTCCCATGTAACCTGCCTTAACAACCTAAAACTAAGGCAGAGCTTGAATCATAAGTCATGAATTCTTGCATGCCCCTGACTCTGAGCAGAGTGGCATGTGGTGTGTGTGGGGGGGGGGGGAGAGGATTAGTTTTCTGAAAACAGCCAACAGGTCAAAAGCAACCTCACACAACAAATATCTACCATAAATGTTTGAAGCTGCATATGGGTATTTCTTGATAACAGTATTTTTTTCCCTTATATTTCTTGGTATCTGAGTCAATTGGGAGTCAGGTGGAGTCTGTATCTTAAATACTTGTGAAAACTGTGAAAGGCTTTTGTGAAGTATTCATTCCTTCCTCACATAAAGTTTTCTTGTGCTGCTTAAAAAAATGTAGAGCCCTTTGTTAGAGACACACAGGCAATCAGGACAGACTGGGAACACAGCAGACTACAGATAAGCCAAAGACCTCGAACTATGTGACTCTCTCTTTATCTTAGGAGGGGTGCTGAGCTTCCTTTCCTTGATAGGACAGGGATGCAATTTTGGTGTTTCTAAGGGTGCCTTTAATGCGTTTAGCTGATGCCATTGATTGTGCTTCATATAATTAATATCAAGTTGGTTATTTAACGGCCCTGAGATCCTTTCTAAGAAATGAAGTTAAATAATACTGCCTATGACTCAAAGCACCTTTGTAACCCAGTACTTAAAACTTGAGAACCTCAGAAATAGAGAAGGCACTTTAGAACACAGCTCGTATCTCTTTTCCTATCTCTTCTTTAGAATAAAATGTTATGATTAGCTGAGCCTCATCAACTTGCCCTCCAGAAAGAGGATGTCGCTTCCAGAGAAGACTCTACCAAAGAATGCTAGTCCCCCCACCCCATGTAAACATTTCTCAGACTGACGTGTGCTTTTAAAATTTGGCAGTGCAGAACACAATACCCTTTTGAGCACTAGAGCAGAGGGATTTTAGTGTTTTCAGGCTTTTCTGGAAAGTAGGCAGGAAGAACTTGCACTACTTCGAAAGAGACTGTGGAAAACACCATCAGTGCGTGTGTCCTTGCAGTAGGGACTGTTAACAGGGGAAGACACCAGAGGAAGTAATATTTTTTTTTTTTGCCACTAGAACAAAGCAAAGTAGTAAAATAAATTAATGAAATGAAGACTTGCTGGAGACAGTGGGAGTACAGGGTCGATCTTTCCGGGTGTTATCTGGCCCTATCATGAAATTAATGCCAGTCATTGGTCAGCCAGTAAAGACTCCTGAGTCACAGCCTCATATTAACACCCAGTAAGCAACCTATGTTTCACAACTATTATTGCAAGTGATATTTTATAATTTTATGCTGTCTTTTTTTTTTTTTTTTTGATAACCCAGTCTCTAACATGGCTTTCCCATATGCACAAGTTAAAGTAAGGATACTCTAAGAAATGGTACTTTTTACAGATAACATTAACCTCTTTTAACATTTTTAACATCATCCTTTAACAAAGCAATGAGATGTCACTTGTTTCCTTCTCAGCCTTTCTATGGCTTGCTTCATATCTGTATTTCTGAGTGTGTAAATGAGGGGGTTCAGCATAGGTGTGATCACTGTGTAAAACACAGAAACGACTTTATCCACAGAGAAGGTGCAGAAGTGCCTCAAGTAGATGAATACACAGGGCACAAAGATCAGGCTGACCACTGTCAGGTGAGAGGTGCAAGGGGACAGTGCCTTGCCCTGCCCCCGATGGAGGTGAGTTCTCAGAGTGATCAAGATGAGAGCGTAGGAAAAGAGCAGGACCAAGAAGCAGACCAGAGACAATATGCCACTGTTAGAGACCATCAGCACCTCAACCAAGTAGGTGTCTATGCAGGCCAGCTTGATGACCTGGGGGACATCACAGTAGAAGTTGTCCAGCTCATTGGGACCACAAAACGGCAGCTGGATGACAACTATGACCTGTGTGATAGAGTGGATGAAACCCCCACACCAGCAGCCAAACACCAGCTGATGGCGCAGACGGTTATTCATGACAGTCATGTAGTGCAAAGGATTGCATATGGCAACGTACCTATCGTAGGCCATAACGGTCAGCAGGAACATCTCACTGGCTCCCAGAAAGTGAAGAAAGAAGATCTGGGCCAAGCAGCCTGAAAAAGATATTGTCTTCTCCGTCTGTAGGAAATCTCCTAGCATTTTGGGTACAGCAACGCAGCTCAAGCATAGGTCAATGAAAGACAGATGGCTTAGGAAATAGTACATGGGCGACTGGAGCAGGTGAGCGTCAGCCTGTACCACCATCACTATCAAGAGGTTTCCCAGGACGATAGCAACATAAATCAGTAAAAACGTCAAGAAGAGAAATAACTGCAGCTCCCAGGAAGATGACAGGCCCAGAAGCACAAACCGGGACACCTCGGAGTGGTTTTCATTTTTCTTCAAGCCAAGAATGTCAAGCAACCTAGGGTAGGAAAAATTAAATTGGACTAAGCGGTTTAAGTTAGACAAAGCTGGAAAATGATGAGAAAGAACTTCTTGCTCATCTGTATGTACACTGTGTGGCAGAAGTTCAATAGCATCAAAGTGAAAAAAAGAGAGAGCGAATGCCTCATTAATATCAAACTGCTATGTTTTACAAAAGTGTGGTTGCTCCCCTCCCCCCTTGACTCTTCTCACCTCTCCCTGCCCCTCCTTTCCTCTGCTCTCAATAGAGCAGAAGGTGTATGTCCAGAAGCGACAATGTTGTGTCTGAAACCAGCTCTGAGAAAACACAAAGTGAGAAAAGATTTGTATTTTCTTTTGTGATATATAGGTTTTCATACACTTTTTTTAAAAAAGTATTAAATTTCACTTACATACTTTATGTGATTGTGTGTATGAATTGTGTGGGTGCATGTGTGCTGTAGTATACACGTGGAGGTCAAAGGCCAACTTTTAGAAGTCTGTTCTCTCCTACCACATGGGTCATGCATCTCAGGCATGGCAGCTGGCACTTTTCCCTGGTGAATGATCTCAATGGCCCAAGATTTGTATTTTCTCATTCCTACTTACCCACTCAATATTGTAGTTAATTATTTGAGAAATTCAGACAACTTAGTTAACAAAACCATTTATACTAGATGTAAAAAAAAAATGATCTAAACGTGCAGAAAAGCGCCAGGATTTCTAAAACAAAAAATATTTAATAACAAGAATAACTTCTCCAAAATAGTAGCTCAGTAATAAGCAGAGAAGAAGAAGACTCTGGGCAGAGGCAGCTCTCCCAGTGTGTCTGCCCTCTCCTACAGAGCAAGATGTGAAAGTCCATCAAACTCTACAGTTTAGTAAGTCAAGGAAGCGATTGTGTCACTTTATAAAATAAACAAGAAAGTAAAACAAAGGGAAAATACAGCATAGAAAATATTTAGTATCGCGTGTGCGAACAGTTGAACTACGCTACACTGGGATTTTTTCAGTCTTCCTCTGATGTAACAGGAGTGAGTATTTTCTTGAAGAAATGGCCTCTTGATGTTTTTTTGTTGTTGTTCTTGTTCTTGTTTTGTGTGGGTTTGGGGGGGATAGGAGGAGTCTAAAATGTTTAGTTAAAAGAGATCAAGTTTTTACTACAATTATAAATATAATTTCTAACACTATATTGTATAAAGTATAAAAATATAATAAATATATATTAAAGAATAAATACACACATGTATTGACGGGTTGGTTACTACCAAGCCTAATGACCTGAATTTAGTCCCAGAACTCACGTGGTGGAAAGAACTAACTCCTGCAAATTTTTCTGACCTCTACACATTTACTGTGCTGCATTTACCCATCCCCCTCATCCACACCCATTCACACACAAAATAAAATATATATATAATTTAAAAATGTTTATACTGAAAAATTTCCTGCGATGTTTGACTCTTATAGAAAGGATGTAATGTATTGTTTATATTTCAAAAGTATAGTTCTACAGAAAGACGACCTTGTATTATAGTAGGTAAGATTAAAATTAAACCACAAGGGTAGATTATATAAGAATGTGTAAATGCAGTAAAGCCCATATCACGACAAGCCATTTTATTCTTAAATTAATGATCTACTTCTTTAAAATAATATTTAATCTTAAGGAATTTCAGTGCTGTTCACATTTAGATAGTTCCTAAAGTTTGTAGTAATAACATTTTTGCTAAGAATTCTATCAAAATTTTAATACTTAAAAAGATAAAATGATATCTTTTGTATTTGATTATTTGAGTTATAATTGGTTATTGGAGTGATTATTAAGGTAAGGACTACATAATGGTTTCTGTAGTGTTGTTTTTGGTTTTTGTTGTTTTTATTGGTGGTGGTGGTGTTTTTGCTGATTCAAAACATCCATTGCCTTCAGATAACATAAAACACAATGCCGACAAGGTCCAGTTTACTATCAATATTTAATAAAACCTGCATGTTTTCTTAAAATATCTTCCAGTTTATGCTTCTAATAATCTTTAATCACAAATAGGAAAGGATCCTCTGAATATTCTATGCAGGATACAAAGAACATTATCTCCTTTAACATGAAAGAATGCCTACCAATAAGATTATCTTCCACCACAACATACTTTATCTCTCCAAGAATAAAAACGAATGCAAATATAACGGAGAACAGAATGAAGTTTCCTAAGAAAATAAAACTAGACTGTAATATGATCCTGAATTTCTCCTTTACTGTAAACCTTTACTAGGTTTATACCTAAAAAAAAAAAGAAAAATAAAAAAAATCAGTATTGAAGAGAATTTTATTCTCCCAGATTCACTGCAGCATCATTAATACGAGGCATAGAGTAACAACAATCTACTGCCCATCAACTGATGGATGGAAAAAGAAACTATATACACAAAGAGACAGTGTTTAAAAGAAGGCAAAATTTTGCCATTTGTAACAAGACAGATAGAACTAAAAAAATTACAGAAGTGAAATAAGCCAGGCAAGAAAAGACAAATGTCCCTGACTTACTCACATGTGGAATCTCTAAGATTTGTATCATAAAAGTTGAAACAGAAGTCAGTGGTCAGTGGAGATGTGTAGGAAGGGTCCGGAAATGTTGATTTGATGCTGAGCACCAAGTTATAATTAGATAACAATAAGTCCTGGTGTTCAACCAACAACAAAATGCACTGTCTAATTCATAAAACTAGAAGGGATGTTGAACATTTCTATCCTAAAAAGATAATAATTGTTCTAGAAGATAGTATTAGCCTAATACACCTCTATCAAATGCACACCTATATCGAAGCATAATGTTGCTGCCTTAAGATGCATGGTTTGCAGGATTTGCATGCAAGCTAAAAGTAAATGTTATTTCAAAGTTTCCCCTCCTAAATTCTACAGGAACAGGCAGGTGAATAAAAATAAAGATTTTGCTTCCTTGTTCCACGCCAGCCTTATTGACCATGTCATGCTGCATTCCTTAGGAATAACAAGAATTTTCAAAAGTCAGCAGAATGTATTTAATTCACAAAACACGTCATTGAATGAAAACTTTTATCAGTAAATGTGTGTTTGGAGAAGGATTCCACTGCGCGGGGCAAAGAAAACAAAAGAAGCCCTTCAAATGCTGTCTAGGTGCCAAGAGTTGGACAGCTGGTCTCTCACCTCTCTTTCTAAAACAGGGATCTGAGGGCTGGAGAGATGGCTCAGCAGTTAGAAGCACTGTCTCTGTAGAGGTACGATATTAAATCTCCAGCATCTACATGATGCTGTAACTCTAGCTCCAGGGGGTCCAACACCCTTTTCTGGAGTCCACGGATCCTGCAAATTGTTTTCTTAGATTGAAATGATAAAGCCAAGAGTATAGAGAGTAAAAGAGTAAAACACAAAGGGCATTTAAAGAGCATCAAAAGCAGAAAGGAGACCAGGGCAGTGAGAGTAGTTTGCATAAACATATATGATGAACTTACATCATTGCTTATAGGGACCAACGCGCTTGAAATGTGATGATAATAATATGGTATCTTGCTGTTCATCACACCTGTATTCTCACAATCTTGGGCTAAGAAACAGTAATCTTCAGATGACCATTCCAGTTGCTAAGACTGTGTCTTAACCTCTTCCTTATAAGCCAATCTAAAGTTAAACAATGGCTGTGTAGATTAGAAACATTCTCTGTCCCTAGGGCTCCAGCCCTGTCTGAGATTCTTATGGTCATTACATCACTGCTCAGCCTAATGAGCCCTGAGATCTCTGGGCTGCTGTTATTTGAATTGACTGCATATCAGTTCTTGCTAGAAAGATGACCTGAGATCTGTATGCTTCAAAACTCTGAGGCCTGAGGCACAGAGCAGCTCAATTTTTAAATTAATCTATCTATCTATCTATCTATCTATCTATCTATCTATCTATCTATCATCTATCTACCTATTTATTTATTTTTGTGGATGTAGCAAACTCCAAAGAGCAAGCTTCAACAACTTTGTTTATTCTCCCACAGCTTATATATACCAGCAAAATCTTTCACAATGTTATTACAATCTATTTTTCTTTGAGTGAATGATTACTATGTGTATACATAAAAAAACAACACATGTTCCTTAATATCCTTCCATGATTAAAAGTTTTATACAGTATTGGTGAATAACAAATTATCCCCAAGAACCCACATATATGTGTAAGTAAACAACTTGTTATCTATTAACAAAGTATAAGCAAAGTAATTCTTTCAGCCAGTTTGCTAGACTGCAATTTGAGGTTACCAAGAAAGAACCAATTATCTTAAAAAGTAATCTTATAAAATCTTTTTTAAAGTCTCAAATTTAAAGTTTTACATAAAAAAATCAACCATTTCTACTTTAAATCCTCAAGGTGCACATCTACCCATTAACAATTTTTATTAAATCATATCAGAAAGCTGAGGGCAAAAATGGGTACAGGAAATTAATAACCCAATCACCAGCCCAGCTTCAGCAAGAGAGTTATGTCATCTAGTGCTAACTGGGATATTGTCCTTGCTCCCTACCCTCAAAAAGTCCCTAGATCAACTATTAAGAGTGTACTTTTCTGAACTTTCAAATTTTTCCTCAAGGTTTTCTACATCCATTTTCCACTAACAAAAATATCTCAACCTAACTTTCCAAACTATTTACATCAAATCAAGAACTCTGTAAATTCATTAACTCATCTAAACAATATTATTTTACGAAAGTTTATCTTCATGTTGATCTGCAGGAAAATCACCTAATAGAATGGGCTGTCACCCAGGAAACAATTGCATCAGACTGTAGGCAGTGAAGGTCTCTCCTTGTCCAGTCACACTATGACAGATATACAAGGAATATAGCAATGATAAACATGAGAAGGCACAGCAGGAGCAAAATGCAACCCAGATACAAAGACATTGGGGCCATGCCTCTCCAAGTCACACCCACCACAGCCATGCATATCAGGGGGCCTTCTCCATGAAAAAAATATAAATAATAAAAATTTTAAAATATATAATAAAAAATAAAGTTCTACCAAAAATCATATTCAGAATAAAGATAGAGAGACAGAAAAGAAAAATAAATAGCTGAGTAGTACTCTATTGTGTGAATGTACTGCAATTTCTTTATCTATTTTTCAGTTGCGGGATATCTGGGTTGTTTCCAGATTCTGGCCATTACGAATAAAGCTGCTGCGAACATAGCTCAGCGAATGTTCTTGTAGGATGGCAGAGCATCTTTTGGGTATATGCCCAGGACTGGTATAGCTAGATCTTGAGGTAGCACTATTCCCAATTTTCTGAGAAAGCACTAGATTGATTTCCAAAGTGGTTGTACAAGTTTACATTCTCACAAGCAATGTAAGAGGGTTCCCCTTTCTCCACATTCTCTCCAGCATGTGTTGTCACTTGAGTTTTTGATCTTTGCCATTCTTATGGGTGTAAGTTGAAATCTAAAGGTCGTTTTGATTTGTATCTCCCTGATGGCTAAGGAGCATTTAAGTGTTTCTCTGCCATACTATCTTCCTTTATTGAGAATTCTGTTTAGTTCTGTGCCCCATTTTTTTAATTGAGTTACTTAGTTTGTTGGTGTTTAATTTCTTTAGTTCTTTATATATTTTGGATATTAGTCCTCTGTCATATGTAAGGCTGGTGAAGATATTTTCTGAGTCTGTAGGCTGTCATTTTGTTCTGTTAACAGTGTCCTTTGCCTTACAGAAGCTTTTCAGTTTCATGAGGTCTCATTTATTTTATTTTTTTATTGTTTGAAACTATTTTTAGCTTTTTTATTATTTTTTTTACAATTTGTTCACTGTGTAGCCCCCTTCCTCATTTCCTCCCAGTCCCACCCTTATACTCCTTCTCCCCTCCATCTCTCTCCCCTAGTCTACTGACAGGGAAAGTCCTCCTCCTCTACTATCTGACCCTAAGTCCCATCAGGTCTGCTTGAATCCTCTTTCTCTATGGCTGGTTAGGTATACCCACCAAGGAGAAGTGATCAAAGAGCAGGCAACTGAGTTTGCATGGTATATACTCACGTATATGCTGATAATAGTCATATAATATAGGATAGACATACTAAAATCTACAGACCTAAAGAAGATAAACAACAAGGAGAACCCTAGGAAAGATGCTTAATTCTCATTGAGAAGGGCAAACAGTATAGACACTGGAAGCAGTAGAGGAGAGGGAACAGGACTGGATCCTTCCACAGATGTTCTCTGAAAGACTCCTCCCAGCAAAAGATAGAAGCAGATGCAGAAACTCACAGCCAAACTTTAGGCAGAGTGCAGGGAGTCTTATGGAAGAAGGGGAAGATAGAAAGACCAAGAGGGGACAGAAACTCCACAAGTTGACCAATAAAGCCAAAACCTCTGGGGCCCTTCAGAGACTGATGCATCAACCAAGGACCATGCATGGATAGGACCTAGACACCCTGCTCAGATGTAGTCCATAGGCAGCTCAGTCTTCATGTGGACTTCCTAGTAGAGGGAGCAGAGGCTGTTTCTGACATGGACTTGGTTGCTTAGTAGATTTTGAATGGCTACCATTAGTGTTGAAGAGAACACTTTGTGCTTGCTGTAGAAACCAAATAAACCATGATTTGAGATAAATACAACTCTTTGAGAGTTCAATGTTTGTGTGAAAAGTGCCAGAGTTTTTGTTTGTTTGTTTTACATAATGGTTAAATAAACCTTCAAAAGAGTCTATAGGGAATGGTGAATGATAGTGACATTTTTTTATCTGCCTATGGAAGTAACTGAATGTGTAGCCCCGCTGGCTTGAGAGTGGCCATGGTTAAAGCTTTGGCCTCTGCTATTGAGGCTATGAGGGAGTCACAAATGGCCAGCCTGCTTACAAAAGCCAACAAGGACAGGATTGAAACAAATATCCAAGTAGTTTTTGTTTTAAATCTTCTAATTTAATATCAACAGGATTGGTTTCGAGGAATCTATCCAGTTGTTTTACTGCTGATAAACCTAATGACCACCAATTGTGTTGCTAGTTGATTCATTTCTGCTGGGTTATTTATTTATTTTGATAATTGGAGAAAAAAATCACCAACGCACCCAGATTAAGCTTACTTCGATGTCAGCATGCAAGGAGGGCCGGCTAGAGGAGAGAATGAGGAGGAAAAAAATAACACAAAAAAGGGGCTTAAAAAAAAAAACAAAACAAAAAATGACATGCAAGGTGATGTAATCCTCTCTTGGATGCAATATCACTCTCCTGCTCTAATATTCAACCACCCTCTTCTCAAAGAATTTGCTCTTCTCCTCTGCAGAAATATTTTCCATGAAGTCAAACACATTTTCTTCTCTGCAAATCCTGTTAAAACCCAGCTGAAGCATAAGCCTGTCTGCCATGAACTTGATGTGTTGCTTTATTAAAGTGTAATTTTCCCAACCAGCTTTGCCAGCAAAGTTGCAGTGAGGAATTCCTGTTCTATTTTAAGGGAATTGTGAATTATTTCTTTCACTGCTTGGAAAGTTTGTGCAGCAGGAATGTGAACATCAGACGAGCAAAGTCACAGCATAAATCAATTGTTTGTGCTAATAAGCTCATTGAAAATTGGAGTACCCAGCACAAACCCTTATTTCTTGAGCCAGAATACTTATACAAAAGAACCAGAAAGATGTAGCCACTTGCTCATTCAATCCAACACAAGATCCATCCTGTTGCCTTCTTCACACAAGGCATAGTTTCAGTGGCAAATAAAGAAATTCCCTTTCTTTGGAATCATTAACACAAATGTCAATAAACTGAATATATTTCAAACATGTTTTCCATGACAGTTTGGAAGCCATAGAAACAGGTGGCTTCTGCAATTTGAATCTTTTGGCTAAATCACTCCACCAAATCTTCATTTGCTATGCCATCACTTCCTGTTAAAAAAAAAAAAAGCCATGAGACAGAAATTTCTTTCCACAGGCATCCTCCATTGGAAAGAGCCATCTCCTTCATATTCCCAGAAAGTTCAAAGACTTCAGATTTTTTGTGCATGTGTCAGATAGTAGTACTAGACAGAGAAACACAAATTGCCAGGGTTTTCCTCCAGTACATTTATCCCATTCTGGGCCAGTTACTTCACCTTCCAGCTTGCTAGGGTTCTAGAAGATTCTCCTCGTAGCCTTGCTGGCCAGTATTTAAACTGTTTCAGTTCTTGTTTGCCAAGACAAGTCACTTCAGGGTAATACCTGCAGTTACTGATGGTCAAAGAGCAGCAGTGGAAGAGGAGCCAAGAACTGAGATATCAAGGAGCACAGCAGCTGGAATCTGAACCAGACAAATATAATTTTAAAAAAAGCTATTCAGTTGTAGAAATAAAGAAATAAATAGATAGATAAATAAATAAATAAATAAATGAAATCGCATATGAATGGAGCTAGAAACAAGCATCCTGACTGAGGCGACCAAGAGGCAGAAAGAAAAATATTCCATGTTTTCTCTTATAGGCAAATTATAGCTTTCAAACTTTTGATATGTGT